ACTGGTGTTGGGTTAATGGGTTAATGTTGGACTTGTGGGCTTGGGCAGCATTGGGTTGGGATGTTTTTGTGATGCACACTTTCTTTACATAAAACTCTCTTATACATGAGTTGCTGTGGATTTGTTTCACTAAAGTACCTAGACTAATACAATGAGCTAAAAATTTTTCCAGTCCTTATGTTTTCTTGAACTAAAAGATTTTCCATGTCCTATCAGTGATATAAAGTAAACAACATGGAAAATGTGTACAAAGGATTATCTGTTTTAACAATGCAGACTAAACAAAACAATACTGATTTGTAACAGAAAAATAATGAAGAAATGAAAATAGAATCAACTTGAATGCCTGAATATGAATACAGAAACCAAAAGCCAAACCAACTGAATGAATTCTAACTCACACTGACTTCATGTGTTTCAGAGTAAAATTATACTCTACAGGGTTTTTGTTTTTCCTTTTCTTATTTTAAGTTTTTCACTGTGAATTAAGTGGAAAACCCTAGATTAGTTTTCCATTCAACAATTCCTACATTTTTTGTTTCATCTAATTTGCAATGCTCACAATGCTGCATTATATATTCCACTTCTTCCCAGTATGTTTCCTGTCCTCATCTTGTCCTAAGCCTTCTGAATTTTGTCTTGGGCTAAACACTGCTCTTTCATTTCTACTGGTTGATTATTCTAAGGTATGCATATTTTCCTAGTATTACTGTTCCCCTTATAGACTATTAATTGGCTGAAAATTGAGCCATAGTGGTGAATTCAGTTGCAGAACCAAGGTGATTTAGGGTCATAGATTCAAGGGTTCCATCAGTCTCTAAGGAATCTGTAAGCCTGGTCATTTTTATGACTTTGTGTTTTGTTCTGCATTTCTCTCCTGTTCTATGCAGAACCTTCTATTATTATTCCTTTCAGAGCAGTTGGCAGTGATAGCCAAGCACCATCTCATGCTTTTGGTTTTCCAGAGGGTTTTGAATGGTTATGATCTTATGTAAGTAAATCATCAGGTCTTTCTTCCAAAGAATCTCTGAGTGGATTTGAACTACCACTCTTTCAATTAGTAATCAAGGGCTTAACTGTTTATACCACCAAGGAAGGATTCCTTGAATATGGAACCCCAAACCAAATCAGGCCCACTGCCATCGAGTCAATTCCAACTAAGAGTGGCCCTGTAAAGGGTTTCCTAAGAATGTAAATAATTAATGAAGCAGATCTTTCTATTGTAGAACTGCCAACATTGCAGTTAGCTGCTTAAAATCACAGTGCCACCGGACTGTCTTTGAATATAGCTGGAGCTTAGTAAATAAAATATATCCTTCACTGTTTTGGATGTAAGGTATTATATGAATCACAAGAACATTTTTTGTAAATTAAGTTTTAAATAAGCACCTACAGTGTTCCATCCACTGTTTTAATTTAACAGGATAAATAATTAAATTTAGTTCCAGTTTTGTCATTACTTCATTATGCAGATAATCAGATAAAAAAAAACAAATTCCTCTCACCTATGAAGTAAAAAGAAAATACTAACAAAAAAATATAAACTTTCTAAACAGTTTGAAGCACATGCAACAATGTAAAAAATATATATCTAAATTGTAACTATTGAACAAGTTACTTTTTAAGTGTAAAAAAATCTTATATAACATTTTATGAATTATAATCCTCAATTATCTGAATAAGCCCCCAAAATCTGATTTTTCCACCTACCTCTGAAAATGATGACTATAGAGCTGTGTTGGAATACCAAGAATACGATCGTAGATAGCTGTAACTTCTCTTAGGTTTCCTTGTTCATTTTCCCAGTTTATATACATTTCCCACAGTCTGTCAGATCGGAAATCTGTTCCTGCAGCTAGAACAGCATGCTCAAAAGTTCTGCAAAATTAAATACTGCTAAGTTATCTTTCCAAGGTAAAATCACTTTAAAAATTACTTAAATCTAAACTATAACAATAAATTCAAATTATATTCAACTGCTTCCCTTACAAAATAGGGATTAAAAAGTAGAATGAATATAAAGCATCAAACAATTGCTTTAAGAAAAGGGGTAAATAAAGTAACAAAATAGATAAATGTACTTTCTGTGTAACTTTTCATTACATAAAAATTACCAAGTAAAACAGAAAAGTAACACAGTAGACATGGAGGTATTTGTTCAACTTGCAAGGTTTAAATATATTTACTTAAGGCAGAAGGCAACTAAAACAAGTTGGAATTTATAGAAGCACATACAAGGATGGTTTATAAAGTTGATGAAAAATGAAATTAAAAGCTAATGGAATTTTTCTATGAACTTTTGTATTTTTAAAATAAACACTTAGAAGTCAAGAAGTTTTAAGCCACATAAAACTACAACCCCTAAATTAATCTATATCTGTATCATAATCCCAATCAAAAGCGCTAATAAATTTTGGATAGAATAGAAACAACAAAGTCTAATATTCATCTGGCAGAAAATGTGGGAATTATATTTTCAAAAAGGACAATTTAACAGGCATTTGCATATAAGCTATCAAAAGAAAATGGAAAGCTAAATGAGTAGAAGTATGGCACTGGCCTGATATTAGAAAATGAGATCGAAGCGTGGGGGATACCAGGTTCTGCTAGGAAAAGCCAAGTTTTCCCGAGAATGTTTCAGAAAAAGTTACGTGGACCGTGGGCGTTTCGCACACACCTAAGCTCCTGGCAAGTATGACACAAGAATTTCACAGAGAGATTTGCAGCAGCAAAAATCTCCTTTGCTGTAGGATCTCAAGTCTTGAGGCAGCTGCAAGAAGGGGGGAAAGGTAAGATCTCCCCAGAAGGTGGTTGATATGTATGGAGACCTTCAGAAACATGGCTTCCAAAGAAGAGAATCCACAAAGCACGAACAGAGTGCTAAGAATAAGTCAGCTGGATGCACTTGAACTGAACAAAGCCCTGGAGCAACTAGTTTGGTCCCAGTTTACTCAGTGCTTTCATGGATTTAAGCCAGGGCTGTTATCCCGCTTTGAACCAGAAGTAAAAGCATTCTTGTGGGTTTTCTTGTGGAGATTCACCATCTACTCCAAAAATGCCACTGTGGGGCAGACAGTTTTGAATATTCAGTACAAAAATGATTTTTACCCAAACCTGAGATATCACCCACCCAGTAAGAATCAGAAGCTCTGGTATGCTATTTGTACAATTGGAGGGAAGTGGCTAGAAGAACGGTGCTATGATTTGTTTCGAAACCACCATTTTGCATCATTCTGGAAAGTCAAGCACTGTGTGAATATTGTAGTTGGACTATTGAAGTTAGGTGAGCTGATTAATTTCTTGATTTTCCTTCAAAGAGGAAAGTTTGCAACATTGACAGAACGTCTACTAGGCATTCGGTCTGTATTTTGCAAGCCCCAAAACATGCGTGCAGTTGGCTTTGAGTATATGAATAGGGAACTTCTCTGGCATGGTTTTGCAGAGTTTCTTATTTTTCTCTTACCACTTATTAATATCCAGAAGTTGAAAGCCAAGCTATCTTCATGGTGCATCCCTCTTACTGGTGCTCATAATAATGACGAGACTTTAGGCACCAGTGGCAAAGAATGCTCTCTGTGTGGAGAGTGGCCCATCATGCCTCATACCATAGGGTGTGAGCATATCTTCTGTTATTACTGCATTAAGAGTAGTTTCTTATTTGACATGTACTTTACGTGTCCCAAGTGCGCCACAGAGGTACATAATCTTCAACCTCTGAAGTCAGGAATTGAGATGTCAGAAGTGAATGCACTTTAGAAACTGCAATTCTTTCCTCTCAGGAAAGCTGTATGATAGTTTAATCCTTCATATTAGTCATCCTAAGTATATTATTTAGATGTCTTTTATGAGGGGCTTACTTCTCAGCCACTGTCTTCTAGTCCTTGACAGGCATGACTAAATGTTAATCCTTGGAAACCACAAGATTTAAAATATATTATGTAAATATTAATGGAATGTTTTTTGTAATCACAGCATTAATTTTTTAATTGTAAGAATAATGGATCATTTTTGTCAGGTGACTACTAAGAATGCGCCATCATTTTCCTGCTTCCCGGAAAGAGGATGAACGCAGAAAATAAACGATTTTTGACGAAAAAAAAAAAAAAAAAAAGAAAATGAGATCAATAAAACAATGTCTAGGAAAACAAAACAGACAAATGGCTATGTAACAATTTAGTATGTGGGGAGAAGAGGGTAAGTGATCACAATGATGGACATATTAACACCCTGTTCATCCGATCGCAGAGGGACGAACAACAGAAACGTGGGTGAAGGGAGACAGTAGTTGGTGTAAGATATGAAAGTAATAATAATTTATAACTTATCAAGGTGTCACAAGGGTGTGAGGGTGGGGGAGGAAGGGAAAAAAGAAGAGCTGGTACAAGTAGAGAGAAAATGTTTTGAAAATGATGATGGCAACATATGTACAAATAAGCTTGATACAATTGATGTATGGATTTTTATGAGCTTTAAGAGCCCCCAATAAAATGATTTATGAAAAAAATTGAGCATGTGATACACTATTCAATAGGAAAGTAATCAAAAGGTGAACCTCTATCTCACAATAGATACAAATTAAATGGCAGGTGAATGAATGATTTTAAAAAACTATGAATAGAAGAAAATACATTATTGATATATTCTTGGCTTGTCTTACAGTATAAAGCTCAGAAATCTATAAAAGACTGAAAATCCACCAGCCCCCATGGCTCAATGTAAACCAAGCTCAATCAAGAAATTATTCTGTACAAAGCAACAACTCATGGATTATGGTTCACAGCTCAACTATACTCGCGTGAACTTCTCCTAACAGTACCTTATATTCTGTGTCATTGGATAACTTATGTTAGCAATGCAATCGCCTTACCTCAGGGGGTTGACTGACAATTTTTGTTGTTGTTCTTGTCACAACATGATCACCAGAGTTGTTCATAACCTCATAACCCATAGACAAGTAGATGGATTTTGGGTTCCCACTTAATTCTAGCCCCTATCCAAGAACAGTTATTTTTTATAACATGGCCCTGCTCAACACTTGTCTTCATGAAGAGATCATGAAGATGAGGGTGCTGCAATTGCAAAGTGTGGTTAAGAAAGCAGATTGGTGCCTGGCTATCAATTGGAATAGCGCCTAGGGCCTTAAAGGCTTGTATTCAAACAAGCAGTCATCTAAGCCAGTCAACCAAGTCCACATCATAAATGCATCCCAGCGTGTGTGATCCAAAGATGACAATAACAAAATCCAAATTTGCTGAAGGGAAAAGTATCAGAGCTTAAATTGTTAACACTCAATTTGTAGGGCAATGGAGAACAGTAGGCACCCAAAATCCACCCAAGAGTGCCGTGGCAAGGAAGACTGATGGTGTCCGGCTATCAAAAGATATAGCGTCTGGGGTCTTGAAGGCTTGAGAGTAAACAAGCGGCCATCTAGCTCAGAGCAACAGAGTCCATATAGAAGAAGCACACCAGCCTGTGTGATCACGAGGTGTCGAAGGGATCAGGCATCAGGCATCATCAGAACAAAGAATCTTATCATAGTGAATGATACAATTGATGTATGTATGGATTGTGATGTGTTGTACGAGCCCCTAATAAAACAACTAAAAAAAACGAGAGAGAAAAAAAAAGAATGGAGAGTACCTTCAAAGCTCTTATGAAATATTATTTTCAACCCAAAATTCTATAGCCAAATCACCAAATGAAAATTTTGTACCCAAAATGTTGGGGTTTTTTTTTGGCCGCTGCCAAATATCTTATATACAAGAAAGTTTTAGGATGTATCCCTTTCTTGGCATGAACCAAGAAAAAAGTAAGAACTAAATAAACAGGGCCTAAAAACTTAGAAGTAAACTCATCTCCCAGAATAATAAAAATAAATCTCAAGACAACAGCTACACAGCAGAAGAAAGCTACAAACCAGTCCAGATTAAAGCAGAAAAGGCTCCCAAAAAGAGAACTTCAAGGAAGAGGGAAATCAGGAATTTGTAAATAATCTGACTGATAGGATTATGTAGAAACCTGTATTTATAGCCTTTTAGAAGACAGCTGAATGGTTTAGAAAACTTTAATGTTCAAGAAAACTAGGCAAACAGGAAAAAGAGGGGAATAGGGCAATCAACTTCAAGGAATACAAATGGACAGTAATGAGGGTACATGATACAGTTCAGCTGTAAAAAAATATTTATACAATCAAATTAAGTAAACACACATGAGATAGATTTAATGAAACCTAACAGCTATATTGGAAAGATGGAGAAAGTGAAAGATAAAGCAAAAGTGTGGTGAATTTTCATTTACCACAGTATATGCAAAAAACCTACAACTGACACAGAAAGCAACATAGATAATATAAGCATTAGAAAATTCCATTAAGAAACAGCTGAAATATTTCAAAGTAGACTTTGGAAAGGAGAAGACACTAAGTTTTGTTATAAGCAGTTTAACACTAACTTTAAAAAATCCTACATATATACTTTGATACAATAGTTAACAATAAAACTATAGAAATTTCTTCTGTAATTAATGAGTAAAAGATAATCCAATAGAAACCTGAGCAAATGACATGAACAAACAATGCAAAATTACTTTAAAACATGAAAAGATGGGCATGCAAAAGATGTAATCTAAGAGTTATATGTAAGTTAAAATAAAGGGGGAAAATTTGACACGATTGAAGAAAAGGACTTTTTATACACTGTGGAATTTAAAATTGGTACCTATGAGTAAAGAACTTTACCTAAAAAATTTGGTCTTGATCCTTGGTTCCCGAGAAATAATCTCTAAAATCTTGGAATTTCTCCAATGACTGAAATGTCTTTGATAAGAACTGTAGATCACACTTGAGGACTTATAAGTCATGTTGGGTGGGGACTGACTATGCCAGAAAGACCACCAAGTGATATCATCAGACCTCAGAGAAGAGAGGCTATAGTTTTAATTGCATATTGAGACCACTCCTAACCCTACAGTAAGAGCTCTGGAAATTCATGAATCTCCATGGTCTTACTGCACATGGGAGAGTGGCATATTCTTTTTTGTGGCTACATATTAAGAACCCCTCCAGACCTCATTCTACACACCCTTCATGTATATCCTTTTTGTTATAATAGACTGTAGCCTAGTACAGCACATTCCTGAGTTCTCTGAGTCATTCTAGTGAATTATAACATCAAAAGAAGAAACTCAAAAACTCACAGCCATGAAGTCAATGCTGACTCTTTGTGACCCTATAGGATGCGGTAGAATTGCCCCCATGTGTTTCTGAGAATGTAATCTTTATGGGAGTAGAAGCCTTGTCTTGCTCGTGCAGAGATTGCTGGTAGTTTCAAACAGCTGACTTTTCAGTCAGTAGGCGAATGTATCCCCAATGCCAGTCTTAACAAAACTTAGCTGTATATTCTCTTTGACAGAAGTTCCATTTCTAACATACTCTCTATATTGACTTGTACAGAAATGTTCACTGTCACACTGATTATTTCCTATACTTAACCAAATAGTTACTTGAAACTAACAATAGTTAAAAATATATATATGAAGAGGAATTTCAAAACACTGTTCAATAAAAACGTCAAAGAACCATATTTATAAAGTACACACAGTTATCTACTTCTTTGTGTATGCAAATATATAGCAGTCCTGAAAAAAATACATATTAAGCTGTTAACCATGAGGTGAGTTGGATCGGGACATAGGAAAGGGGCATGGGACGAGATTATTTGTGTTTTTGTAAGAATGCATATATTTATTATATGTGTAATTCTAAATACTGAAAAGAAACTCTTAAAAGTTCAATTCCAGTTTAGCATTCACAAGTAGTTAATCAGAATACCTGACAGAATTACAATTTTCAAAATACATTCAAGTACAAATGCTTCACATACCCTCTTATGGTACTGTTAGTTTCAGGATCCTCAGGGTCCAAAGTTTCTTTTAAGAAGTTTATATAATGTATCCAAAGATCAACACTAAGAGGTATTGCCTGAAGCCCCCGACGATAAACCTAAGAAGAAAACAAAAACTGTACTTCAAATATTTAATTATTTCTTAACAGAGAGGCAACACTGTGTTATCCGGTGAACCTTAGAAATACTAATTACTGGAATTTTGTTTAAATAATCTACCATTACCATTTGGGTGGAGGTTGGATAGAACATGGCAATGTTCTGATCCCCACGTGCAGAGTCTTGATCTTCAAAGCGCAGCAGTCCCTGCATTCTGACCGGGTTGTGTGGGCAGGCTTTGGGTTACAGACCAAAGGGCACAGACCCATTAGAGCATCAATGACAGCGTCTGACCAAAAATGCAATAAGACGTAGCAAATGTGACTAGCAAACCAACTATATTGTTTGGAAAATGAGAAATAAATGTAAGTGAGAGAAAAGCCCTGCCCTACTTGTTAAGCTGCAGTGTAATACAGAGGCTTGCACTGCAAAGCTTGACAAACTGTAGAGGTTTAACGCACCTGCCAACAAAGAGAGAAAATATTAGCTACAAATGCCACAAGAGTGACAAATGCAAATAAAATACCCTATAAAATTGTTTGACCATAAATGGTAGGTACTGCCAGCCAAAAAAAAAAGACTTTTGTTACCATTTGGCTTACAGTACCTAGTGGGGATAACTTTATTCAGTGTTGTACGTACCTCATCTGATTGTTTAATGTTGTCATGTCGCTTTTCAAGATCTGCATACTTTTTCCAATAACCATAGCAATACGGATAATGTATGAAAAATCTGTCAAATGCTTTCTTGGCAGCCAGTAAGTGATTCTAATGAAAATAAA